AAAGAATAGAGTCAGAAATGAGCTGAGAAAACTGAGTTGAGGAGAAGTTTTTTAGACTGAACACATTTTAGACAGAACTGAACTCAAGAGGAACTTAGAAGTATAGGCATAACTTTGAGAGAAAAGGCATTGAGACTAAGAACACTATTGTGACTTCAAAGCAGGAGAAGAGAGCAAGATTAGAAGAATGTAGAAACTATAGGTAACATAAAAAGCTAAGAGAGCAATGTGTAGAATGCAGAGGGGAAGGGGAAAAAAGAAGCTCCAGACAGCAGAAGGAGCAGGCGGGTTTCTCCTTACTGTGAGACAGAACAGGTCCTTTGTTAGTAACAAGGCAGGCTTAGTCTTATTAAAAGAAACAAAGCTTTTTTCTTATAAATTTGGGCTTAATTCATTTAGCATTAAAAAGATAGAAACGTTTACTTTTTCTATGCAAAAAAAGATTGGAGCACACTTTTCATCCAGAGTGAGTGAGTGTTTTCTATACTGGTGCTTGATCCTTCGCTCCATATGCATGTATAAGTATGGTATATGTGTGTAAGTATGCAAATGTGAGAAAGTATGCAAGCTGAGCCCAACTGGTCTGAATGGAAATGAATAAATGCACATGTGTGAATCTGTTATGTGAGTTCATGCATATTTGCTTACATAATTTTTTTCCTTTTTCTAGCATTATTCTCTTATCCTGGTATTTCTCCAAACTTCCCACTATTCTGACAAACAAGAGGCATCTGGACAAAAGGGGAAAAGCTCTAGCAATTAATCCTTTTTTCTAAATCTCATACTGTTTTAGGATAAGCTGCTAAGAGCCAAAGACCACAGTTTCTTGCTTCAGAGGAACATAGAAGGCTGGTCAGGTACAGTAGCATAGTAACTTAGACTTAGATAAGTAAACCTTTTATTAAGATACAGCACCTCTAAATATCTCTTAAGACAATGTCTTACCTATGCCATTGCTCTTCCCCCTCTTCTGACTCAAGGAGACTCACAAGAAAGAAGACTCCTGCTGAGCTGGCTCCCCTCAGGGAAATTTGGTAGATTTGGAGGAATTGGAAAGAGGAAGGAAAAATGTAGATCCAGTGCTCATGTTTGGAATTCTCAAAAGAATTTTTTAAAAACGCAGTATAAAAACTTACACTCCATTAAGTCAGTAAAATTTAAAGATATGAGTTAATTTGTAGACACATCTGAACCACCAATGTTAAATAAAAAGGAAATCAACTACTTAAACAAACCTAAACCAAATAAGGAGTTTGAAAAGCCTTCTGACTAGAAAAGGCTCAGAACCAAAGGGGTTCACAGCAACATTATTCAAGCCCTTCAATGCTGTAAGACTTATACTTTTCAAATTACCAAAATAACAGAAACAGAACTTCCAAACTCCTACAAATCAAGTATTAGTAAAGCCAGGTAAAGACATAACAACAAAAGAAAACAACAAGCTAGTATATCTAATAAACATGAACACAAAAATTCTCAATAAGATATTCACAAACAGTACACACACATATATCAAAAAAACACCTACCCTGCCCAAGTAGGCTTTTCCCCAGGGATTTAGTGATGTTTCAGCATACATAAATCAATTAATGTAATAAAATATATAAGTTTTCTAAAACAAATTCGTATCATCATCTCAAGGGGTGGCAAAAATGCTTGTAATAAATCCAGCATCACTGGCTGCAGCAGAAGAATTTTAGAAAAGATAGTTTAGAAAGGAATGTTCATCAACATAACAAGGAGAATATATGAGAAACCAAGCCAATGTTATCACAAACAAAGCTTGTAAAAGTTCAACATCAGGAATAAGACAGGCTGCTCCCTACCCTTATTTACTTGGAATCTATGTTCGATTCTATAACTATAGATATAAGAAAAGGGAAGAAAATTAAAGGGATATAAATAGAAGAAAAAGTCAAAGTATTTCTATTTTGCATGATGTTATATTATTGAGACTAAAAACTTTCATCAGAAACATGTCTATAAATATCCAATACTTTCACTAAACTGGAATGATTTAAAAAAAAATCAATTCAACAAGCATTAGCCTTTCTTTCAGTAAATCACAAATACACTGAGAGGAGAAATTTCTACTGAAATTTTCTAAAACCCGTGAATTTTTAAGTTATATTTCAAATACTTATTTTGATACTTACAAATAAGAATAGCTCCCTCTTCATCGGGAACTCCTTTTTTAAAAGGTAGACACAATTTTAGAAATCCAAATCTGGTCTAAAATGCAGAAAAAAAGGAGTCATTTGTAAATTGTTTAAAACACTAAGGATCTGGGAAATCACAGAATAGAAGACAGCAAGATTTAAAGAATAAGAACAACAGGATGTCTTCTGTGAGACAGTGTCTTTGTTTTATAACAAGACACTACAACCATGAATACTCAACAATAACTTTGAACAAGATTGACATAATGACAGTAATTAGTCAATATGGCGACATGAACAAGAAATTTCACATATTGTCACCCACTAGATGAAAAAACGATGGGTGGTAAATGTATGATGAGAGAGGAGAATCAGCGTCTTCCAGGAATAAGCTCAATTCTTCAACCTTAATGCATTTGCATACAAACAAAGCTAAATGGAAAAACAAATTATAAGCAGTTATAGTGACCTTGCTGGACATGTAGCACAGTTCCCATACTTAGAACATAGTTATGTAGAGATGCACAAGGCTGACTCTTCTCATCCAAGTATCTTATGTCTGTATGATCTATTGATTTAGATCTATCAATTATCTATCATCTAACTATATATTATCAGTCATCAATCATGTGGCATCATCTATCAATGTATAACACATATAAACATATTTCTGTTACACTAGAAATCACAAGTGGTTTTTTAGATGTGTTGGAAACTTAACTAATTTTAAAATGGCAAAAAGGAAGTTTCAATACATTTTCTTAAATTTCTGGTAAATTTGAATGTTGTAATTGAGAATCCAATCTAGTTTTATTTAAAAAGTATATAGACTTTGAATATTCATAGATAAAGGTTATAAGAATAATGATCTAAATTAAGGGATGCATAGGGAGGATTTATGTTTGCGAAACTGTTTTCAATTACTTGCATTTATGGAGACAATAAAACTTCTACCTAGTAAAATATGGAGTACCGCAATTTATAGATTATAATGTAATGTTTGTTAATATAAAAGTTATGGGGACATTCATTCTCCTGAGGATCTGTCATTTGTTTTATGAAAGAATTATCTAGGAAATGTTCTTTGTGTTGCTGTCTTTGTTCCCTATCAACTGCTGTCCAGGTAGAACTTCCTCTATTTGCTTTTCAGAGAGGAAGGTGCAGAGTAGAGCTTTGAAAAAGCTATCCTGAGTAATTGCTACTCTTCCACTGGATATAAGCTCTGTCACTTTCCTAAGAGACCTTGCAGTTCCAGCAGCAGCACCTGCTCCACACCCTTTCCAGGGTATTTTGCATTTCTCTGTTTTCTTTCTTTTGTATGAAAGGGACCATTCCACGAGGACCATGTGTCTCTGAATTTATGGTATGCTTAAACGTCTCTTCCTAACAATTCTCTTCTTAGCAATATTAAATTTTCAATAACTGGGCTAGTTTACTTTCTCAGTAAGTCTGTTCCTAAACATTGGGAAATACTAAGAAATACCTTTTTTTTTTTTTTTAAAATAGAGGATTACTTTGTCTATCTTTGACATGACACTCTATGTCTTTCTCAACAATTTCTATAGATTTCTCATGTTGTTGTTTTATGACAGAGTCTTGCCATGTAATCCAGATTGTTTTCACACATGTTATTTCCCTTGTATTAGCTTCTTATTTGCATAGAAATGTTTACCAGTAGTACCATGGAAGTCTATTAAAGTTTTGATAGGTGTTTCTCTTCTGTCTTGGATCTATTTATGTCATTGCTTCTTTGACTATTCCTTAGCTATTAAATAATGCTATCATGCAATGTTTCATTTTCCAGCTCACCTAGGTATTGAACCACCTCATCTGCCTTGCTGCCTACGATGATGGCAAAAGAGAAGATATTGAAGCCAAATGAAGAGAATTGGATACTATCTGAAACTCCTCTGAACTAATGGGGCAACAGGTTATTCTACAAAGGGAGACACAAAAAGTGAGGAGAAATCATGTGGTGTAAATTAGTTTAAATTAACATATTGTCTGCTCTTGAGCACAAGAAGAATATTTGTTTTTTAAATTTGTTTTCATGCATGTATAAAATATACACATTTGCAGAATGTTTAATGAATCAATTATACAGAAAAGCAAACTTACACAAGTTTGAAATTGCTATCACAGTACTAAGCATGAGTCAGATGGATAGAAAATTATTGTTATTAGGCAACTTGAATTACAGAAGCAAGAAATGAAGGGATTATAGATCTAATTTTATGTTTATGCTTTAGTATATACCTGTGTGTTCATGTAGAAGAGTAAATATGTGACTTTGTTGAAGAAAAACAATAAGTATTCTTAGTAACAGGCATTTATTGGTTAAATTTTGATAGTTTAAGGAAAGAACATTGAAAATCAGATTAGAATTTTTATTTATACATTTAATGACATGCTTATTCTATTTGATAGCTTGATTTTATAGTCTGTTATAGCAATTATAGTTTTAAAAAGTAGCTTTCCTGGAAATTAAATAGCTGTATTTTAATAAGTAGACATATAAAACCCTGAAAATTAGAATATCTTTGTTTTGATGATACATATGAAAATTCAATGTTTCCTTTAGAATCAACTATGTAGAACTTCTGGTTGCTGTATGCAAGGTACTTATTAGTTAGATCCTAGAAGAAATTAATCTGGACTGTCTTGGACAACATATGGGTTATTTTGTGTGTGAAGAAACCTAGAAGCCAAGCCATTAGTAAAGTTTGATGATTGATTGACATTATTGATGAAAGTTCATAATTATGTTTTGAAATTCAAGAATCACATATACATAACCTGTTAGAAGATTACATTAAGAACTTGGAGCGTCTCCTGGTGACAATGAAGGCTACTGTGAAGTACACATTATTAACAATTTTAGGTGTGGAAATGATTATAGGGTGTTTAGGAAATGGATTCATAGCTGTGGTGAACATCATGGAATGGGCCAAGAGAAGAAAGTTCTCCCTAGTGGATTGGATACTAACTGCTCTGGCCATCTCCAGACTTGCTTTTGTGTGGTCACTACTCATAATTTTATTGATATCTGAGTTTTACCCAACATTGATGATAACAAGAAAAATGTTGATAATAATTAATAATTCCTGGACAGTGACCAATCATTTCAGCATCTGGCTTTCTACATGTCTCAGCATCTTTTATTTTCTCAAGATAGCTAATTTTTCAAATTCTATTTTTCTTTCCCTAAGGTGGAGGGTAAAAACTGTGGTTTCAGTAACTCTAATGGTGTCTCTTCTCCTCTTGTTTGTAAATGTTATAGTCATAAACACATGTATTGTTATCTCGGTTGATGAATATAAAGTGAATATGTCCCACAGTTCTCATTCAAATAACAGTCTACAAATTTTTAGGATTTTTTTATTTCCCAACACTATGTTCACGTTAATACCCTTCATTGTGACTCTGACAGTTTTTCTCCTGCTCATCTTCTCCCTGTGGAGCCATCTGAAGAAAATGCAACACAATGAGAAAGACTCCAGAGACCCGAGCACCACAGCCCACATTAAGGCCCTGCAGATGGTGGTCATCTTTCTCTTACTATACACTGTTTTCTTTCTGGCACTTGTCATGCAGTCTTGGAATGCTATGATTCAGTGGAAAACTGTGTTCACTTTTGTTTTTGAGGCTGTAGCACTTGCTTTTCCTTCAGGTCATTCATGTGTCTTAATTATGGGAAATTCTAAGCTTAGGCAGGCTTTTCTGTCCATAGTGTGGTGGCTGAGGTCCAGTTTTAATGCTGCAGAACTCCCAGGTCCTTAGAGAAATTAGTGTATTGACTTCCATAGTGTACAGGGTGACTTGTTCTTAAATGAGACTGTATGTTTGCATTTGAACTTTCAGTTTATTGTTTAGTTGTAGCTTTGAGAATCTTACAAAATTCTTCATGAATCAAATACCGCCCTAAATATTAGATAGATGTTGTTGTACATGGAATGATGTCAATCTGAACTGTACAACTAGAAAAAGTTGTGTTATTAATATGATGTAATTTTCTACTGTAAAATAGGCTTTTTGAAGGTTTTGATATCAGTAATGAATCCTATGGAATATCTTTGTAAATATGTGTATGAAGCTTAGAAAGGATACAAACAATGAACTGTATCTAAATAATTATATTTACATAGTTTAGAACATGTTGAGAAATGATATAGAGTTAGACATCAAATATCCTTTTTATTGCTTCATATATATTAACAATTCAGAAACTTTTAATGAAAAATTAGAGTTTACTCAAATTTTTCTGTCCATGTTAACTATTTTGCAAATTAAGCCATTATCAGACTTGTTATTGGAAAACATGTTCACCTTTTTTCTATGAAGTATTAACATATATAATACAATTCATTTTAGTTGTTTTGCCCACAAATGCAAAATCTTACTGATTTTAATTCTGCTTATCTAAGGTATTAAAAATAGTTTGCATATGTCATAATTACTATAATTTAAGAGAAAAATGTTTTATTATAGCATGTCAGAATTCAAAACTCATTAAAAACAAAATTTTTCACAGTTTTGAATGCTTTGATTTTTCCATTGGGATGTCATTAGGTTTCAAATTTTAGTAGCTGACATGTAAACATGATTAATTCAAATTAGACTGAGTTTTCATAAGGCAAGGTTATACAAAACAATGGAAAAGAAGAAACTTTTATTTGCATTTGAGCAAATGAGAATTTAGCTTTAAATTTAATTTCAGCAACTGAAGGTTGTAGCTTATAGTAAGATTATGTGTTAGTGTTACTTATAGTATATAAATAAAGCTGATATTGAGTTAATGTTTAATTCATATTGTCTTGGTTAATGTTGCTTTCCTCCATAACATTGCCAACAAAGTGCAAAATAATCAAGAACCTCACTGCCCATACAGAAATCATCTACTGGTAACATTTTTGCTAAGAGATTATAAATCTTGAATTTTATCTTGACTCACCTTATAATCAAACATTCTATTTTCCATCTAAATTGCAGACTTTAGTTTAGGAAATTTTTCCAGTGTCTCCATGTAATCTGTAATCTGTCTTACCTTTTCAGAAATTGTGTACCATGTGACAATGATTTTTTTTATTCTCTTCTCATATATTATTACTTCCTTACCCAATTTCCCCTACTCTACTTACTCCAGTATTCTCCCTCAACCTCCTGTTTCCACCAGATTCACACTAACTCTAGTTTCCTTCAGAAAAGACCAGCTCTCCCAGGAATGTCAACCCAATGTAACATAACAACTTATAATAAGACTAGGCATATAACATCACATTAAGGCTGGACAAGGCAACCCAGTGGGAAGAAAACTGTCTCACAAGCAGGCACAAGAGTCAGATAGTTTTTCTCCCATGATTCTTATTGTCTTTACTGTCTCCTGTTTTGCCTTGCTTTTGAGAATGTTAATATGCTGGTATTTAACTATATTTCATCCAGGTTAATATAATGATGAGTGAAAAGAAATGTTCTTACTGCCTATGTAGAAAATAATTTTACAAAACCTGGTATGATATTAACCTTATTGATAGTCAAATTCTTTATTCTCATGCTTTTTCACCTAAAGAGGTAATATAAATGACTTCCTTGTTGATAAGAATGGGGAATTTATATTTTTCTTCATTGTTTTGTTATTGTTGTGTGTGGTATATATGTTTGAGTACATGCCTGTGCTTGCATCAGTTGCAGACATTGGGTGTCTTCTTATATGGATTTTCACACTATTTTGGTAGAGTTTGTTTCCTGAAACTCAAATGCATGGACTTCCTAAGATGGCAGGCTGAAAAGTTCAGGAGTTGATTGTCTCTGCAAAAGCAGAGATGTACTGGTGTACTATTTTACTTGCCATTAACATAGGTATGGAAGATACAAACTAAATCCCTTATTCTTGAAGAGCAAGCATTTGGGCATTGGTCCATCTTCCAATTCTAACTTTGGTCCTTTCTAATATTTTCATGCTAAACATGTATAAACCAATAAAGGTGACTTAATATGGGAGAACTATGACATGGAAGAGCTAAATGAAGGGCACTATAAACCTGCCAAATATAACGTCCTTGTTTCCTGCTCTACTTTTCACTGTTAACTTTTTCCAAGTATAAATAGCTACTAAGGTGAGACACCCCAGCAAATGTCTCCTGCTGTCAGCACTATGGTTCACAGAAGTCCTTGTAAATTGTAATCTCTCTCCTCTAGCTGTTTGTCAGATGGTCAATAGTGAAATCATTTCAGGTCAGAACTGTGATTTTCCCAAATGATATGGTCTACTACTGTTATCAGAATATTGTTACTTTCCATTTTAAGCTGTTTATTGTTAAATTTTAGAAAAGAAGCTGAGACATCTATGATTGTTTTCTCAATGTTTGGCAAGACTCTCATTGGAAATGGAAAGTTTCAAGAGAGCTCATAGACCAATATCAAGATCATCACGACATGGCATGCTCCCTCCATGCTGTCCCAGATACCAAATCTGATCCAGGCTGGAGAGATGGCTCAGCATTTAAGGAGTTAAGGCTTCTTTTCAAGAGGACTCGTATGAATTACTAGCACCTAGATCGTGGCTTACAACCATCTCTAACTCCAGTTTGAGGGCATCTGAAGCCTTTTCATAACCTATGTGCATATTGTTAGGATGTAGTGCATGAGTGTCTATGTAGGCAAAAACACTGCATTCCACAAATATAACAGAAAAAGAAAGATTGGAATGTCTGAGAACTTCTCCTGCTCATAAAAAGTTCAGCAAAGTGACTGGATATAAAATTAACAGAAATAAATCAGTAGCCTTCCATTATACAACTGATAAATGGAAAATGAGAAAGAGGATAATATTTGAAATCCAAATCAATAAAATATTGAATAAAAAAGAAAAAAGAAAACAGGGAAACAATACCCTTCAGAACAATTACAAACAATATAAATAACTTGGGGTAAGTGTAAACAAACAAGTGGAAGATCTGTATGACAATAACTTCAAGTCTCTCAAGAAAGAAATTGAAGAAGATCTCAGAAAATGGAGAGATCTCCCTTACACATGAATTGGCAGAATTATTATAGTAAGAATGGCTATCCTACCAAAAGTCGTCTACAGATTCAATGCAATCCTTATCAAAATACCAATACAATTCTTCCAAGACATGAAAAGAGCAATTCTCAAATTCATCTGGAAAAAAATGACCCAGAATAGCAAAAACAATTCTTAAAACTAAAAAAAAAAATTCTGGGGGAATCAACATCTCTGACCTTAAGCTATACTATAGAGCAATAGTGATAAAAACTGTATGGTACTGATATAGAGACAGACACATTGATCAATGGAATTGAAGATCTAGAAATGAAACCACACAGTCCTGGTCACTTGATCTTTGACAATGAAGCCAAATATGTGCAATGGAAAAAGAAGACATCTTCAATAAATGATGCTGCTCTAACTGGCAGTCTGTATGTAGAAAAATGGAAATAGATCCATGTTTGTCACCTTGCACAAAGCTCAAGTCCAAGTGGATCAAAGACCTCAACATAAAATGAGATACACTGAATCTAATAGAAGAGAAAAGTGGGAAAGACCCTTGAACTCATTGGTGCAGGAGGAAATTTCCTAAACAGAACTCCAATGGCTTACTCTCTAAGATCAAGTATTGATAAATGGTACCTCATGAAACTGGACATAGTCAATAAGACAAATCAGCCACCTATAGATTGGTAAAAAAAAAAAAAAACCTTCATTAACCTTACATCTAACAGAGGGCTAATATCTAAAATATATAAAGAACTCAAGAAGCTAACAACCAGGAAACCAACAAACCCAATCAAAAAATGAGATATAGAACGAAACAGAGAATTCACAACAGAGGACTCTTGAATGACTGAGAAGCACTTAAAGAAATGTTCAAAGCCCCTAGTCATCAGAAAAATGCAAGTCAAAATGACCCTGAGATTCCACCTTACACCAATCAGAATGGCTAAGATCAAATACTTAGATGACAGCACATGTTGGTGAGGATATGGAGAAAGAAAAACACTTCTCCATTGCTGGTGAGAATGCAAACTGATACAACCACTCTGGAAATCAAACTGGAGGTTCCTCAGTATATTGGAAATAGATCTACCTAAAGACCCAGATATATTACTTTTGGGTATATATCCAAAACATCCTTCACTGTACCACAGGGACATATGTTCCACTATCTTCATAGCAGCCTTATTTGTGATAGCCAGAAGCTGGAAATAACCCAGATGTCCCATAGCAGAAGAATGGAAACAGAAAATATGCTTCGTTTACACAATGGAATTCTACTCTACTCTTAAGAATGAGGACATCCTGAATTTTGCAGGCAAATGAATGGAACTAGAAAGTATCATCCCGAGTTAGATAATTCAGATCCAAAAGGACATGCATGGAATGTAATCACTAATAAATGGATATTAGACAAAAGAGTACAGAATACCCAAGATACAATCCACAGAACTCAAGATGGCTAACAAGCAGAAGTGCCCAAGTGAGGATGTCTCAATTCCACTTGGGAGGGAGAAGAAAGCAATCACAGGATGTAGGGGCCAGGAGGGAGGAACTTGTGTGGGAAAGAGAAAGTATCAGGTATTGGGGCGGGGGGATAGAACTGAAACCCTGAGGTCCAGGAGAAAGAATGGAAATGGGCAACCTTGGAGGTAGGAGGTTAGTGGGCCCTCTAGAATGTACCAGAGACCTGGGAGGTGAGAGACTCTCAAGTCTCAAACAGAGCAGCCTTAGATGAAATGCTCTACAGTGAGCAGAGGGAACTTGT